TAGTTTGAAGCCTGCTACCCATTCTTTTCCTTTGGTGTCCTCTAGTCCTTCTATTATGGGAACTAATGAAGAACTTTTCTGTATGCACCCTCTCCACCCAACCCCTGCTTTTAGAGACCTCTATCCTGTCCCCTCTCCGTCTCCTCTTTTCTAAGCTGAACAGTCCCAGTCTCTGTAGCCTCTCTTGATCTGGGACCTGTTCCCAACCCCTGATCATGTTAGTTGCCCTCCCCTCTTCCAGCCTTTCTCTTCCCCTCTCCCACCTCCTTTTCCCAGTCTCCCCCAGTTTTGTTCAATAAAGACAGATTCCATTTTTGAACACAATTGTCCTTTATTTACATCAATAAGAAGGGGGGCTAGGGAGGGGTAAGTGGAAGGAGGTGAGGGAGGAATGGGGTACGAGCCCCCGATGGGGAGGACTGGGCTGGCTCTGCGGGCTTCTGGGGGTGGAAGCTCTCCTGCAGCCCCCCAATTGTCCCCTCTCCCCAGATGGCAGCCTGCGGCAAGTGCAGCCGGGCTGATGGCCGAGTGGTGTGATGTGCCCAGTGTGGGTAGTCCGGGCACTCCAAGCCAGGACTGGTTTTCAAGCGGGGCACCCCTGAGAACTGTCTGTCCGGGGTGGGGGTCGGGACCCTTTAAGCGCAGCCCTCGGCTAGCCTGAGACAGCATCTCCACGCTCTAAGTCCTCCTCTGATGCCCTGCCGGCACTGCTTCCGGCCAGCCTTAAGCCCTGTTCAGAGTCCACTCAATGTGGACTTGCTAGTTCGAATTAGCAAAACGCTAATTCGAACTAGTTTTTAGTTCTAGATGCGTTAGTTCGAACTAGCGCTGTAGTGTAGACGTACCCTTAGTGTGACAGTGGTCAGCCAAGAACTCCTTCGCCCCTCTACCCTGCCCAGGACTGCTCTGTCTAGGTGCTTCCCTAGGCAGCCGTTTCTTCTCCCTCGCAGGTAGAGATGGCTCCTCTCTGTTTTGTAGCCCTTCTTATAGGGCCCAACCTAGCCCTGATTGATATTTCTAACCCTACCCCTGCTTGGCTTCCTATAAGTTCTTCCCACATTGGCTGGGCTGTGCGCAGACTCCCCATGGCTGCTTTTGCCCCTCCCCTTCCAGAGTGGGCCACCACACCATAAACTGCGCCGCTTTGAAAGCCTGAATATATGTTTGTCTTGTATCATTTGTTTTCTTGTGCACATGCACATTTTATTGGAAGGAATTGTTTTTCCCCAGCTGTTTTGTTCACTTGACATTTTTGTATTCCTGTGTTTCCAGTGGAATTGAACTTAGAATGACTCTGATTAATTCCAGCTTTTACGCACTGACCATCAAACCGGTCAAGTCTCACATTTTGTCACGCCCAGTGCCAGTCTCATATCCACACATAGGCAGTGCTGAACTTCCCATGGTGAATTTCATAAGCCCTGAAATAGCTTTGCGGCCAGTAGATAATTATATTGGTCTGTCATTACCTCACGGTACGGTGACAAGCGCTTTATACGGTCAAGGCTGTGGCTATCATAGCAAGCAGTCCCGCTGACCTTGAGAGTAGCTTAGCTCATTGCTGATTTCTGCTTACTGCTGTGTTTGCAGAGCCAACAAGATGGGAGCGCTCTTGTGCAGTTGTATTTGGGAGTTCCATGGGATTGTTAAAAATAGGAGCTGAGAGATTGGCCAGAGGGATGGGGGCAGCACGAGCCTCTTTTCCTTCCCAGAGCTGAGAGCCACATGGAGGGAACAGGGTTTAAAGTGATCTGGGGCTGCAGCAGGCAGGGAGCCCAGCCTGCCTTGGGGGTACTGCAGGGCTGCTGGCTTAAGTAAGCGCCTCCCAGTCAGAGCCTGTCTCTAGCACCCCTCCCGCACCCCAACTCCCTCCCCCAGGTCACCATCCAAACCCTCTGCACCCCTCTCCCCCAGGGCACAATTCCCTCCCAGGCCCTGTATCCCCTCCTATAGTCCTTCCCCAGGCCAGAATCCTCTTCTGTATCCAAACACTCTCCCAGACCTTGCACCAGGTCACCACCCAAACCCTCTGCAGTCTGCAGCCCCTTTTCCCCTTCTCCCAGGTCACAATTCCCTCCCAGACTTTGCACCTCCTAGAGCCCCTCCCCCAGGCCAGAATCCTCTCTTGCACCCATACCTGCTCCCTGACCCTACCTCTCCACTCCTCTGACTCAGGTCACAACCCCCTTCTTCACCCAAACTCCCTCTAAGACCTCACACCTTCTCCTGCACCCCTGTGCCTTACCCCATGCGCCCTTCTGCACCCAACCTCTACCCCAGACCCTACAGTGGCCCTTGACCACTTTCCAAAATCTTGGAGTGGCCCTCTACCAAAAATTATTGTCCACCCCGGCTTAAACTATTTGCATTCTTTCACTAACAGTGGGTTCTTACTTATATCCATACTTTGCTAAACCACAAACTCTGCCATCTGCATAAAAATTGGCATCTCTTCCCACTTTAGAAAACATTTAACAGCCAAGTCCAGCAGCACTGGACTTGGGTCTCCTGTCACGACAAGTTTATGACCTGAAGAAGAGCTCTGTGTAGCTTGAAATCTTATCTCTCTCACCAACACAAACTGGTAAAAAAAAAAAGATCAAAGTAAGAATTTTTTAGTGACCTGGCTGCAGAACCTGCAACTCCTTAGGTTAGCATAGAGAGGCAAAGGTTAAGCCATAGTCCATTCTGGCCAAGCTAGTGCAATCAGCCTGTTAGGGATTCCATTTCTGGCTCTGATTCTCTCCCTTTGTTCTTAGTCCTAGGTGAGAGCCTGTTTCTCCCCAAAGGGAAGCCTTTACTCCAGCCACATGGTGCCTTTCTCCTTTGTTTTCCAACTGTGTGCATGTATTCCTCCTGTTAAGATTTTCTGCTGCTAGGTGTCCTTTCTCATTGTCTTTCCAGATTCTTTGTTGGCATGGATCAGTTTCAACCAGTTTTTTAATCATCTGAGACAGTTAGATGAAATACAGGCCTCGTGTCTTCTGTGCTTCTTCAGTTACAGCTTTGAACCTTTCACGTCCACTGGATAGCAATGCAAAGTACAAAGGGAAAACTATTTAGAAAATTCCTGCTTTATCACAAATGATTTTTTTCTGTTTCTATTTCCTCATCTGTAAAGCAGATATGTGCTCTTATTTTAATGTGTGTTTAGATCGAGGGAAGAAAAGCACTGTATTAAGTTCGGTAGCTCTATAAAGTTGTTCAGAAGTTTAAGCTAGTTACAACTAATGTGCACAGTGAAGTTTTTCAACTAAGTTATTACTAATATTTCAGATGATACTGGTGTTGGCATTGTCATGCATTATATAAGAGGACCAGATATAATAGGGATATTTTGTTTTTTATCAAGAGCTTACTTTTGTCTTTATATTATGAATCCTATTTTCATTAGTATAGTATATATTGCTGTGGCCATCTGTGTTGTCTTCCACAAAGAGAGCGACTCTCTTAATACGTGTAGCGGTATATTGTATCACACAGTATGTTTCAACTGGCATGCTTGCTATAATGATTTTCTCTGATTCCAGTTATATCACTGAAAATCCACAGTCAAACTAACCTCTGTTAACAAGCCACTGAACTACCAATGCATCTTTTTGGGCACTGGAAACAACGAACCCACTTTCCTTTTTGCCCACAGGAACAAATGTCAGTAGCTTTGGATCTAATTACAAAAACAAATGGTATTAATATATTGCTGCATTGTCTTCATTCCCTCTTCCTTCACTCACCCCTGTGTAAAGTTTCTGAATTCCATTTTATTGTCTGATGTTGAAGTTGCCAGGTAGCTCCACAGCTGTTAGCGAAGTTAGCAGTTGAGGCCCTGATCCTACAGACATTTTGTACACGCTTAATTTTAAGCATGTGAGCAGCCCTATTTGTTTCTCTAGGTTTCTTTGCATGCTTATAGTTAAGCGCATGTGTGTTTCCAAGATCAGCTCCCAAGCCTGGTAGAACTGATAGTACAGATCAGAGATTTTGAAAGCAATACTCAGGTGAGAGTGAAGGCAATGCGCAGGACCCGACAGTTCTAAGCATGACTTGGTGTTGGCAAGTAATGGGCGTAAACTTGTATTCCAGCCCAAACAGCTGTAACTGCACCAAAGATGTGGAAGAAGCCAAAAGATCGGACCCAAGCCACTGAGGAGGTGTTAGAGGCGGAAACAGAGGTAAGGGGCAGTGTAATCTTCATATATCTTACTGTCAAGACAGTGTAACCTTCTTGTAAGTCTAGTTTGGGAAGCATAATACTGCTCTTTTAGCTTAGAAGGTATAAATGGACTTAACTGTGGGAGCAAACTGTCAGATACAGTCCATTATATTTTAAACAGATATTTATCGTCTGCAGCTCTTTTGGATACCTAAATATGCCTTTATTTTGTCTAATATATCTCTTCGCCTCTCTCAGGATCACACATCATAAATTACTGTAGCTCAAATGAAGGCTTGGACGGTTCTCCTTTTGGAGCCCATTAAAACGGCTCAGTAATTAGCCTCGGCTATTGGTATTGAGTAGCATAGCATGCCTTTCCCCTTCACAATGCAGTATTTGTGATGTCATGAACAAAGAACTATGTCTTCATGGCAGAATCAAACTGGAGGACAAGCTGAGCTGTGAAAGAGTTGATGTTTTCATGCACACCTGAAATCAGCAATAATTACATGAATAGAGAACATTTTCAAGAAATCAGAGATTTCCCTCTACCTGTTCTCTCAAGTTTGAACTAGTGTGAGGTCCTACTTTCTGGTAGTCTGATACAGGCCACCATCTGTATTAAGAGACAGATGATAAACCTTGGATGAACTTGCATAGCTCCTGTTGACGTCAAAGGGAATTTTGTAGTATATCATCATGAACGGAATTTGACTTTTTAAAGGGCAGCATTGGTTGCTCAGGCTTAAAGCACTAGGATTCTTAATGGAATTACTTTTGTAATGTGTAGCAGCATAAAGAGAGTTATGCAACTATTGCCACTAGAAAGCCTCATTTTGGGCTCCGCTTCCCGTGTAGCCCATGTTTAAATGTGCGAAAACTTGAAAGTCTGATAGAGTCCTACCCTTTGTACAGACTTAAACAAAAAACTAATATGAGTGCATTCATTCCATGCAGTTTGTCTTAGTGGGCTTTCTGTCCACACATTGGTCATTAAACTGGTTTCTGGGGTTCAGTATCTGCTGTCAGCTCCGCTGTCAGTCCTTTAGCAGTAACTGCATGTTTACATATTGTGATATTAAGTTGAGGAAAAGTTCATATACAGATATTGAAGGTAGAAAAACCTCAATTTTCACTTCTTTTTCAGTCAGTGATATCTTATTTGCTTTCCCATTTGTCCTAATTATGCATTTGCTACCTCAAAGATAGGTTTGTTGTTACTCTACCTGTCAATCAAACTTCTGTAGTCACAGTGACAAGAGCATTCACAGCACCCTTTCTCCTGGAGAATAAGAGACATGGGGCAGGGGATGGTTCTTCTGTCAGAATAGCTATACTGTATTGATCCTCTTCCCGCACAGAAGTATTGCATTCCCGGCTGTGTGTATCAACAGTCATCCATATAGCTCATTCATCATTTTAAACATTTATTTTGAAATTTTGTTTCAGTTCTTTTCCATATGGACTGATCCATTATAGCTATAATTTGTCACATACTATGGTAAATAATTGTAAATGTGCTGAGCGGTGATGTTCATGGTCTGGTACACTATTGAAGAATACAAAGGTAACTTGAAAGTTAAACTAAAACTTTTGCTTAGAAGGCATGTTTGTAAGTAGTTTGATTCGAACTGTTCTGTGCACACAATGCTGGTGTCCAGCACAAGTGACAGCCCTGACATGAGTTTTTTGAGAGAGCTACCTGGGAGCCCAGTGGTATTCCTTATGTTTACATTCTTGTGGGATTACTGTCAAAATATGTTTTTTAATTAACTAGGGAAAACTAGAATTAGAAGAGGTCATGAAAAATGGGGAGTTGTCAGTAGAGCCTGTAATCAGATTGTCCGCACAACTACAAAAATGGCCTGCCCTTAGCCAAACTGGATAAAGAGTAGCATTGTTCATTTTCTCTTCTGAGAATGCCCTGCATGTGGGCAGGCTGTTCTTTCCACAACTTTATCATTCAAACCACGTTACTGAATCTCTGTCATCCTTCCCGTCTAGAAGTATGTTGCTCCTACCTGCAGAATTAATCATGATTCTTTGCTTCTAGTTCAGCCCCCTCTCAGTGGGTGTACTAGGAGCTTCATCCTTGATGTTATCAGGTGCCTGTTTTTATTCTGCAGTAATTGCCTATGCTCTAATTAGGTATAGATCCAGTTCTTGGACAGGTGTCCACATCACACTTTCACATTAAATATCTACCATCACAGATTGCCTCCAGGTTGCCATATTCAACAAAGGAAATTACTGAATGGACCATGGAAGTTAAAGTCATCATCATGTCCCTGTCCAAGCCAGAGTGTGAAGCAACCTGACAGGGGCAATACCAGGAAAACTTGCAGTTCCTGCAGCGTTGTTTCATCACTCAATCTTCAAGGCCGTTTGCCATTTTCACTAATGCCAAATTTAGTTAAAGAAAAATGTAATAAATTTACAAATTCTGTACTTAGCATAGTGGAGACAGCATTTTTGAATGCTTTGTTTTAGATAACAAAATGAAAAATTCCTCTTTTAAGCATCACAGATTAATTGGGCCATTCTTTTAATGGGTGAATATCGTTCCTAGCACTTCGCAGTGTGTAATCAGAACAAGAAACAGAATAAGAAAGGAAAAATACTCAAGATATGAGTTTTCCTGAAAAATAACAGCCAGATGAAATTGCCCTTATGTGTTACATTAGCCTTATTTGCTGGAAACTGCTCCAATTTGCAGTAGGCATTCTTCATTTAAAGAAACTATCCCTATGATCAGGGTTCTGCACTACGGGTAAGAGGAGCTGCCGATCTCCATCAGATGAAGGAGTGAGAGCTTGCATGAGTTTGGTTTGCTGTCTGTTACTCCTCACCATCATATTAGAGAGCTTAACTGTTCCTTCCATTCTAACTCAACAGTACATATGGATTTTATAGGTAATATTAAGCCATTCCTGTTACACTGTTAATTGACAATGAGTTACCTCAGGAAACGAGATACTACGTTTTGAGTAAGTGATCGTATTTACTGTTTCCTTATAGCTATATGTGTCCCATGATAGTGTTGAGCAAATGTGCCATAGTGAATAGTATATAGCCGCTTCACATCCTGGAAAGGGTGTTGTTTTTAATCAGAATCTCTCTTTTGCTTGTGCTTCAGCCTAAAGCCGAAGAGGAACTTTCAGGTGACAAAGTATCTGAATCTGAACAGGATAAAATGAGCCATGAGTTCCACCTGGAAAGAGATACCTCTGAGCTTAAAAAAGCAAACATTTTGGAAGAAAATGGAGAGCAGGAAGCAGAGCCTGTACGTAACGGTGCTGAGTGTATTTCAGAGAGTGAAGGAGCTGATGCTAATTCAGGCTCCATTGAGAGCTCTGGTGAAGGGCTAGTATTCCAATATAAACCAGGTAAATCCAGCCTTCCAGTCTGCCTCAATGCATGCATATCTGTTTTTCTGTCTTCCTCCCTTCTTTCAGGACGAGTAAGGAATGCTACCTGGCCTCAGGCCTGCCAACCTGGGCTGGGGTGAGAGGCCAAAGGGGCACCAGAGCTCCAGGCGGCTTTGAGGGCTGGCTGAGGGAACACCACTCTCCAGGTGGTGTGGAGGGCTAGTTGCCTCAGCCCCACCCCTTCCCCGCAGAGCCATCCCCCATACTCACCTTGCCCACGGTCTGTGGAGGCAGTCGGCCCCCCAGCATGGACCCTAAGCAAAGAAGGATGCATATGGATTGAAAGCAGAGATGTTGTGTTTTACAGTATTGGGATTTTGGTAATCTACAAGCTTAGAGAGCCCTTCTAGGAAGACACAATATAGAAAGTGTCATTTTTCATTTCCAGTGGTGAAAAAGAAGAGGAGACTGCAGAGGAAAAACGTGAGAGAAGAAAATTCCTGGCTGCTTTAATTTATAATGTGTCTGTGTGTAAATGACTCCATTACAAGTGGCTACCACATGCCTGGTTTTTTAAATTGATCTGAAAAGTCGTCTTAGTTTTAGAAACTATTAAGGGAGACATGAGAACATTTGACACACAGAACAGAGCCATCATATCTTTTTATTAGTATAGTAACTCTGCTTTAATATTAACCAATAGAACTTTGTTTAAAATTAATGTAAAAGTTTACGCTGTCAGATTTAACTGCCAAATACCAAATCAAGTGGTAGAATATTTTTTTAAAGTACCCAGTTATACAGTTTCATTTATATTAATGCTAGAAGGGTTGCATATGATCTAGCTCAGTGTTTCTCAACCTTTTTTTTATAAAGTACCCCTTTTAAAAAAATAGTAAGTACCCCCAGTATCTACAGTTTTCAGACACACACAATTTTTTTCTACCATTGCAACACATTTGTTTAAACAACTTAATCGTAGCTGGGCGGGCAATGACATTTTTGGGTGTAAAAAGTACAAAAATAATAAAAAAAATAAAAAATCAGTTTTCTCCAAATTTCAGTTGTGTTGACGTACCCCCCAGACTTCTCTCGAGTACCCCTAAGGGTACTTGTACCATTGGTTGAGAAACACTGATCTAGCTAACTTGCTGACCTCTGGTTTCTATCCACATGTTCACAACCTTCCATTTCTAAATGGACCCAGCTGGTTACGATCTTTTACAAGCTCATGCTGAATAGAAAAAATAATGAATGTTAATATTCTGCCCAGGCCTAGTTAGTTATTGTGCCCTAATCAAGCTATGGAATGTGAGTCTGTTGTCAAATGATCCGAGTGTGGGTTCCAAGAAGAAATACTTTCCCTGATACTTAGTGTTAGGTGTGCAGTACAGCAACTCCTCACTTCACATCCTCCCTCTTAGCGTTGTGCCAGTCCCACATCCCCCGCTAGAGAACATTCTTGGCTAAGGTTGTGCCAGGCTCCCGTAGAACAGTGTTGCTCTGTCCTCTGCTTGCAGGTGTCTCCACAAGAACAGTGGCTTTAGAAAGGAGCATTGCGCAACTTGTAACCAGGGGAGGGGAGGGAGGGCAGGCAGCCCCCCTCCTCTGTCAGCTCCCCTACCTCCCCAGGGCCTCCCAACTGTAAACGGACCACAGATCAGCGCCTTCCTCTTCCCTCCTCTCACTGCAGCAGTCTGCTGTGTCTTAGCATTGGGAAGGCTGGAGAGGCATGGGGAGGAGGGAAGAGGCAGGCCTGAGGTGGAGCAGGGACAGGGGCTAAGCACTTCCCCGCAAAGGCAGCAGCAGAGCCTGTTCTTGTTCTGTTGCTGCTCTTGCTTGAGGCACTTGCTAGCTTCCTGGCCTACCTCCTTGTCTGCAGTGGGGTACGTGGGGGCACCTCTCAGCATGTTTGTAAACACAGCACAATACCCACCCCCGCCAGAGGGTTACGGTTGCTTTGTGGCCCAGCCCCTGCCCCTCTCACTGCTCACGAACAGGGCACTACTCCCAAGTGCTTGCAAGACCACCAGCCGCCTGCAAAGCAGCTCAGGGCAGTGGCCCTGCCTTGCAGTCTTGTGTCTGAATACAGTTCTGTGCACAACAGTCCCTCCCCCCCAACTCCATCCTCCCCTTTGCTGGGATGGGGGGGGAGGCAGGGAACAACAGGTGGCCGCAGCCCTCACAAAGCAAGTTACAGTGGTGGAAAGAGCAGCCCCTTTGCCCAGCCAAATAAAGCATCTGGCAAAGGGGCAGCACTCTGGGTTACTGACCTCTCCTCTGCTGGCTGCCAGACCAGGGCTCCAACATGGGGAAGCTCATCTCCGAGATGGGGATTCAAAGCACTTGAGTCTGGCTGCTTTCTCAAAGCAACTGGAGCTGCCCCTCCCCCCCCAAGGGACATCACTAGGGCGGTGCCTAGGGACAGTGACGCTCACATGCCCAGCGATCACTGGAGGCATAACCGGGAAGGCTGTTCCCCTGTCAGGAAGCTTGTCTGGGGAGCTGCCTGAGGTCATCCATTAGGCTCAGCTGGATGAATCCACAAGAGCAGCAACTACATAAAGGAAACCTGCTTGCAGCCACAGCGAGAAGAGTGCCACCATCCTCCTCCATGCCACCATCCTCCTCCGTGCCACCATCCTCCTCCGTGCCACCTCCCCTGAGGCCCCACACACTGGAGTGTCCAGTGGCAAGTGTGCAATCGTTCCGATTCTGTACAACTGCCATGGGCCCCTCCCCTGGCTATATGCCCACAATGGACCCACCAATGAGGTGCATCCCTCTGCCCGTGCATGCACACAGCAGGGAGGGGCACCACCCTAGAGAAAACAACATTGTCCTCCTTTTACCACTGTATTATAGTATTGGATGAAATTGCTTGTTTAAAATCATTTCAAACTTACATTGTTTATGGATAAAATGCCTTCTATCTGTCAAAAAAATTCCTTGGATCCTAACCCTCCCCGTTTACATTAATTCTTTTGAGACAATTGAATGTATTTAATATTGTTTCACTTAAAGGCACATTTTTCAGGAACATAGCTGAAGTGTAAGTGAGGAGTTACTGTACTTCAGGGGTGGCTAATAATTTTTGATGGGGTGCAAGAGAATTTGGAAAGGGGTCAAGGGCCACACTCTTCCATGATATTAATAGAGGAGGTACGGGGTCTGCGATGGAAGTTAGGTGCAGAAAGGAGCTTGGTATAAGGGATTGGTGGACACAAGGGAGTGTGGGATCTGGGAGGGAGTTTGGGTGAAGAAGGGGGGTTGTGATCTGGGACAGAGAACTGGTATGCACAGTCTTGCAGGGGGCATGGGTGCAGGAGGGGGGCAGAGGGTTTGGGTTATGTGGAGTAGGGGGCAGGAGTATAGGGGGCAGACAGGTGTGGGGGGAGGGAAGGGCTGGGGTGCCAAAGGCGTGCTGTAGCTGGGAGACTTACCTGGGTGACTCCTGGCCAGCAGCCCAGCACATTTCTCAGCCAGATTCCCTGCTTGCTCCACCCCTGCACAAGCTGCAAGGGCCATGTGAATAGCTATAACCCAGAGGGGAGGGGCAGGGGTGCTTCTCACACTGCCTGTGGGAAGCCAACAAATGAGATTGTGTTGGGGGCAGAGGCAGCACATGAAGCCTCTTCCTCCTCCCCCAGGCTCTCAGTTGTTGAAAGACAAATGGCCTGGCAGCCACTTTTCTGAGCAGCATGCGAGGGAGCAGGGCAGGCAGGAAGGAAGTGAAACAGTTTCCTTAAGAGCTCAGGAAATAGAAAGTTTTAAGTAAAAGAGGTAGAGAACACACACACATCTGGGGAGTGAGATACAGGAGAGGAGGGCCTGTTGCAGTCCGATTACACTGTTGCTCCCTGTTCTGCAGCATTGCATTCTGCAGCATTGCATTCAGAGTAGCTTTTCTTTAAATGAGAAAAGCTGTTGGTCATGACAATTCATAGCATGGCTACAAAAGAAAATAACCTCTGATAATTTACTGTCTCTTATGGTAGACCATCTGCTTATCAGAGTCTGAAGTAAACCTGCAATTTATAAATGTCTTTTAATTGGAACATGTCATACGGAGTCAATGGTCCTACAGACTTTAGACTTTGCAGGTGGTCCATAGTTTAATTTTGGCCATGCTTTAACTTGTTCCTAAAAAGAATGAATCGAGTGCATCCTTTTGAAAGCAAGGAACATTTTTATTCTACAGAGTGATTTTGACTAGATTGCACAATAATCCTCTAATGTCAGAACTTTTCAAAGGTATACAGATTTTGCCTTTTAGTGGATTTTATCAAGAATTTTCTATTTGGCCTTTGTTTGCTTTCCATGTAAGAAGGCTGCCTCTGACATCTACTGCTTACTTTTTACACTAATTTCTTTTTAGGGAACTTCCAGGAGAAAAAATTGTGTGTATGTAGTTATTATTTTTGCTTATTTTCAATATTTATCCACTTACAAGTAGGGAAGTGATGTGGTCCATGGGATAAAATGCTGGATTTTGATTTCATTCCCGCTAAACTGGCACTAACCCAGTTTTTCCTACATGTAAAAGGGGCATAATGATAAAAATACTGAGCTCTATGAGGAAAAACACTGTCAAGTGTCTAGGTATTATAATGCATTGTATGTGGTGCATTTTCCTTCTCTCTGAAAAACTTGTCATTTACAGGAAGTTTCTCTTGTTGATCATAGAGGCGTCGGTGATGACATAATGCAGAGACTCAGAACTCAGGGCTCAAAGTAATTAAATGAGGAAATAATAGAGGAAGAATAGTTTAATAGAACAGACTGATGGATTAGGTCGGAAACAGCAGTGCTATTCAGCATCACTAAAACACAAAAAAGAATCTCATGTTTTGCTTCAGATAAAACTGAATTTCCGCATTTATGGATGTGATTAATCAACATGGCTGATGAGCAAGGTGATGTTCTTCAACTACTTGCTCATGTCAGTTCCAAGCAAGCATGCATGGGTCCCAGGCATAGTTGATGGAAGGTTTTTCCTCTAGTGGTACTTGTCAAGTCAGTTCAGTCGCCTCAGGAGTCATGCCTTCATAGTGTTACGTATAGAGGTAATCAAGTCCAGTGCCCTGTACTCATAGCGGGACCAAGCACCATCCAGATCATCCAGGCCTGATGTTCATCTAACCTGCTTTCTCCAGTGAGGGAGATTCCACAACCTCCCTAGGCAATTTATTCCAGTGCAATTTATTTCACCACCATGACAGTTAGGAAGTTTTTCCGAATGTCCAACTTAAACCTCCCTTGTTGCAATTTAAGCCCATTGCTTCTTGCTCTATCATCAGAGATCAAGGAGAATAATTTTTCTCCCTTCTCCTGGTAACACCCTTTTAGGATCTTCAAAGCTGCTATCATGTCCCCTCTCAGTCTTCTCTTTTCTAAACTAAAAAACCCTATCATCTGCAGTTCTTGTCAGTCCCTATCACCTCCCAGCTTGGTATCATCCACAAACTTTAGAAGCATGCTGTAAAAATGTTGAACAGAACTGGTCCCAAAACTGATCCTTGGGGAACTCCACTTGTTATGCCCTTCCAGCATGACTAAACCATTAAGAACTACTCTCTGGGAACGGTTATCCAGCCAGTTCTGCACCCCTCCTTATAATAGCCCTGTCTTGGTGTATCTGTAAGAAGATCATGTGAGACTGTATCAGTGCTTTACTAAAGTCTAGGTATACCATGTCCACCACTTCTCCCTTATCCACAAGACTTGTTATCCTATAAAAGAAAGCTATCAGATTCAATTGTTCTTACAGATCCATGCTGACTGCTAGTTATTTTCCAGATGTTCCTTAATTATTTGGTCCATTATCTTTCCTGGCACAGAAGTTAAGTTGACTGACCTGTAGTTTCCTGGATTGTCCTTATTTCCCTTTTTTTAGAAGGGCACTAGATTTGTGTTGTTTATATTCATCCTTTGTACTTTGATCTTGTTTCCACTTTTTATAGGACTCCTTTCTATTTTTAGATCTTTTTAGATTTTTTGATCTTTTGCAATACTTTCTGTCTTTCCTACGCAGTGGAATATAGTTTGCTTTTGTGCCCTTAATAATATCCCTTTGAAAAACTGCCAGCTCTCTTCAATTGTTTTTCCTCTTAGTCTTGCTTCCCATGGGATCTTACCTACCAACTCCTTGAGTTTGCTGGTTTGCTTTCTTGAATTCCGTTGTCTTTATTTTGCTGTTCTCCCTTCTATTATCCATTAGAATCATGAACTCTGTCATTTCATGATCACTTTCACCCAAGCTGCCTTCCACTTTCAAATTCTCAACTAGCTCCTTTCTGTTTGTTAAAATCAAATCTAGAACAGCTTCCCCCCAATAGCTTTTTCCATCTCCTGAAATAAAAAAAAATCTCTAATACATTCCAACAACTTGTTGGATAATCTGTGCCCTGTTGTGTTATTTTCCCAACACATTTCTGGATAGTTGAAGTCCCCCATCACCATCAAACCCTGTGCTTTGCATGGTTTTGTTAGTTGTTTAAAAAAAGACTCCTCCACCTCTTCTTTCTGATGAAGTGGTCTGTAATAGACCCCTACTATGACGTCAACCTGTGCTTTTGCAGAGAACTATCCACAGTGATGCCAAGATTTCTCTCTCTCAAGTGGTTAGAGCTAATTTAGTCCCCATCATTTTGTATGTAAAAAAAAGCCTCGTCCGCCTCTTCTTTCTGGTGAAGCGGTCTACATAGACTATGAAGAGCTACGAAAGGTTCTCACAAAACTAGGCAACTAGACTGGGCAACAAAATGAGAGATGAATTTTAATGATGATAAATGCAAAGTAATGCATATTGGAAAACATAATCCCAGCTATACGTACAAAATGATGGGGACTAAACCACTCAAAAGAGAGATCTTGGAGTCATTGTGGATAGTTATCTGGAAACATCACCTCAATGTGCAGCAGCAGTCAAAACAAACAGTATGTTAGATATCATTAAAAATGACATAGTGTATAAGATAGATAATATTTTATTGTCTTTATATAAATCCATGGTATGCTCATTTCTTGAATACTGTGTGCACATGTTGTCTCATCATCTCAAAGAAGATATCTTGGCATTGGAAATAGTTCAGAAAAGGGCAATGAAAATTATTAGGGGATTGGAACAGCTGCCATATGAGGAGAGATTAATACAACTGACTTTAAACTTGGAAAATATGATAGCGGTCTAGTGGAGAAAGTAAATAAGGAAGTATTATTTACTTATTCCCATAACAGAAGGTGTAGGAGTCACTAGATTAAATTTATAGGTAGCAGGGTTAAAACAAACAAAATTAAGTATTTCTTCACATAACTCATAGTCAACCTGTGGAACTCATTGCCAGAGGACTTTGTGAAGACCAGTATTTTAACAGGGTTCAAATAAGAACTAGGAGAGTTCATGGATGATTATTATCCAGGGTGGGTAGGAATGGTGTCCCTAGCTTTTGTTTGTCAGAAGCTGAGAATGTGGGACAGGAGAGGGATCACTTGATGATTCCCTATTCTATTCATTTCCTCTTGGGCACCTGACATTGACCATTGTTGGAAGACAAGACACTGGGCCAGGTGGACCTTTGGTATGACCTAGTATAATCACTCTTATGTTCTCATGATCCCTGTTTGGGACCTTAGGGCATGTCTACACTGCATTCCTCTTTCGAGAGAGGAATGCAAATGCAGTTGAGCGAAATTGCAAATGAAGTGCAGATTTGAATTTTCTGTGCTTCATTTGCATAATTGCATCCGGGCGCTATTTCGAAAAAAGAAATGCTGTCTAGAAACGCTTCGAAAAAAGAAACACTCCTCATTTTATAAGTAAGGGTAATTTCAAAAGAAGAGTTTTCTTTTGAAATAACCGCATCTAGACAGAGTTTCTTTTTTCAAAATAGCACCCGGACGTGATTATGAAAATGAAGTGTGGGAAATTCAAACCCGCACTTCATTTGCAATTTCGCTCAGCTGCATCTGCATTCCTCTCTCGAAAGAGGAATGCAATGTAGACATACCCTAAAGCATCAGGATGAGGCCCCAAACAGGGATCATGAGAACACAAGAGTGATCATCAAGACTAGTAGAACCCCCTTTACATCCCGAGCAACATGAAAGTTGGCATTTCTGGTGGCAGTAACCTTAGCCAGGTGAGTGTCTGAACTTAAGGCCCTAATATCCAAATCTCTTACACTATCTTCTGCAAGGGCAAGATGCAGCTTCATCCTCATCCAGCCTTTCTTCCGAAGGCTATCCCCCCACCTTTTCGTGCCAATCAGTTTCATGTTTTTCTCTCTCAGTTTTTCCCTAAGCCACATACTAACAGCTGGGAACAAAAACTCCCTTACCTGAATATTTAATGGGCATTCGCCTTTTATATCAAACAGATCAAGACATTTCAAAACTTGAAGCAGCTGTTTGTTGCCGTTGCATTCAGAATGAAGGGCTTCCCAGTCTCTTCCCAAAGAATTTCATCATGGATTATGTCCTGTATTCGGGCATATTATGATGTGGGAAGGATACTGGCCCCTGCACTAACCGTGCATTCCACGTGGGCCGAGGCCTCCTTGGTGGTATTCCTAGCACAGGTCCCAAATCAGGAGATCTGCGGAGGACATGGCCATCTGTCCACACCTTTACTTTTCACTGTTCCTTTACCCAGCATGCCAGGGATGATGCAGCATTGGACAGAGTGGTCCTTTAGCTGGTGAATGAAAAAGGGTGGCCCAATCTCCAAGGTAGTGCTTAGGAAACACTACTTACAATCCATGGGAACAAGCCCTCGAAGAAGAAAAAACGTTTATGTCCATTCCAAGACCCACTCACCTACCCCTCTGTTGTAGTGAACTGACAACAAGGAACTGAAAAGGTGGCAGGTTGGTAGGGCCCTGTATGCAGCACCGTGAAGGCATTACTCCTGGAGACATGTGACCTGACCCAACAGGAACCGTGACGGAAAAATACTTTCAGAAACTGTGTATATACCTTGTGCACACATGAGCAACACATCTTGAAGAACTACCATCAATTTCAAACACTGAAGTCAACAGAGAAAATCATGGATCCAGATCCTCTGGTGCCAATTTTCTGTAGACTGTGGGTATGCACTTGGGTTTCAGACAAGCAAACTATTTTGTTTCCCTACCACAGTCAGTTTCTTTCTTTTGAGAAAGCCCTAAACAAATGGGTGAAAAATTTTCATACCTTACACGTGCTTACTTGCTCATCTGCAGTTGTCCTTGTTATAGTTCTGCCATTTGTATTTCCTTAAAATATATAAAATAAAAACCTAATATGTTCAAGATGCAATTTACTTCTGTTCTACCCCCAGCAAAGGCAGCTTCCTCCAGTTTCTGTAAAGTGCCCTCTCCAGGAGCAAAGCTCTTCTGAATCTCTGCCAACTTGTATCGTTACAGAGCAGTGGAAGCCCACGGATCCTGACGGGAAGAAACAGTATGATAGGGAGTTCCTGCTCGATTTCCAGTTCATGCCCGCCTGTATACAGAAACCAGAAGGGCTGCCTCCCATTAGTGACGTGGTGCTCGACAAGGTGAGAGGAGACCCAATAAAACAGGTGTGTGGAAATTCAGTAATAAAGAGGTGAAAACACTAAAAATCATTTGACTGAAAGCGAGTGGGATGAGGAGGATGGGGTTTCACCTTTAAATGCAGAGAATTGGGATTTCCCAATGCAAAGGACATATCCAAGTTCTTTGTCCTATTGCAGAGGCAATTAGCATCACGAGTGAATGTTTGTGGCTGTGGATTGTAATGCACACTAGAGTATTTGGTGAGCTGTTTGACATATGTTTTGTCAGCAAGGGCATGGGAGAACATTTAGTTAAAACCACATATTATAAAAGAACAGATTTGGGTGGGAAATTTGTGGATGTGCGCTGATTGTCCATGTGGACTACTTGGTTTTTTTTAAATGTGCCCTCTGAGAGATTATATTGATTGATTGACAATAGCACAACAAAAATGGTGACATGGAATCAGCCAAATGTCATTACACAGTGAAACTTCTCACCACCTTTTTGTGTATCCTGAATGAAAGTCATTCATTTTTATTTTTAAAAAGCTAGGCCTGGGAAGTCTCACCTCAGTCACGCCATGTAAATCTATTGACTCCTGCAGAATGACATGAACTTGATAGGACAGATTTCAGCCCCTAAGGCTCAAGCATGAATCAGAGTATTTGTGACTTCATGTTGGGTGAATATTTCCTCTCTAAACTTCTGGGACTGGCAATATTGTAAAACATAGCTCTGCCCTCTGGAAAGGCTTTATCCAACTGCCCTTTCACTTTTCTGTGACTCAGGTGATCATCTTTTGAGGGATTTTTTTGTTTGGTCAGCCATTTGCCTTGTTAAAATTAAGGATATTTGTTTCAGATCAGATGACAGTTTTATGGTTGTTAACCAAGATCATCAGATTTCTTTCACAAAAAGCAATCCTACTTAGCCATTTTCTTATCATCTGTAAGTCATGTCAAACCTAGACAGATGTTATAAAGTTCTCATGGTCCTTGTGGATGTTTATAACAGTCAGTGGTGTATGGCATGGCACAAATGTTATGTGTAACTATGGATATTAATAGAAAACATTAAACTTATTATTTGCTAAAACAACACACGTATGTCGTAACCCCACTTACAACTGATTGACATATTGGCAGAGGACTGTGTACAGATTCCATTTGTTTGTGATACTGCGTCACAAGTGTTTAACATACTCTTTTCTTTGTTGTTGTTGTTTAACCATGCAGATTAATCAGCCAAAATTGCCAGTGAGAACTCTAGACCCTCGTATATTGCCTCGAGGACCAGACTTCACACCAGCCTTTGCCGATTTTGGGAGGCAAACATCTGGGGCAAGAGGTGTTGCTGTAAGTGTGAACTATCTCCAAACTTGCTAAATTAAAAACTGGCTTTGGTATCCTTGATAAATAGCCTTAAGGAGAGAGAGTGCCTTTTAGAGATCTTAGAGATTTTGATTACTATTAGTCTGCCTCAAGCAGAGAAGTTATTTTCCCTGAGAACTAATATAGAAGCCAATAAAATTATTGAGAGAGCTTCTTACTTAATGAAAATCATGGTAAATGGGTTTGGTATTATTTTTTCCCTTTCTTACTCAAAAGAGATCTTCAAAATCATCTTTGCAGCAGTGGGGCAGAGCCTTTGTGGTACCAGTGGCCACCTTGCAACACGAGAGGCGTTTGGAGGACACAGCTAATTTGAATACACATGAGTTTTGTGTCTGTGTGTGTTCTCTCCAAAATCCATTTATATTAATGCAAATAAAATATATTTTGCTAATTGAAGAGCTTTTGTCTTGCTTTCTTTTTTCTTTTCGTTTCTTTTCTTTTCTTTTCGTTTCTTTTCTTTTCTTTTCTTTTCTTTTCTTTTCTTTTCTTTTCTTTTCTTTTCTTTTCTTTTCTTTTCTTTTCTTTTCTTTTCTTTTCTTTTCTTTTCTTTTCTTTTCTTTTCTTTTCTTTTCTTTTCTTTTCTTTTCTTTTCTTTTCTTTTCTTTTCTTTTCTTTTCTTTTCTTTTCTTTTCTTTTCTTTTCTTTTCTTTTCTTTTCTTTTCTTTTCTTTTCTTTTCTTTTCTTTTCTTTTCTTTTCTTTTCTTTTCTTTTCTTTTCTTTTCTTTTCTTTTCTTTTCTTTTCTTTTCTTTTCTTTTCTTTTCTTTTCTTTTCTTTTCTTTTCTTTTCTTTTCTTTTCTTTTCTTTTCTTTTCTTTTCTTTTCTTTTCTTTTCTTTTCTTTTCTTTTCTTTTCTTTTCTTTTCTTTTCTTTTCTTTTCTTTTCTTTTCTTTTCTTTTCTTTTCTTTTCTTTTCTTTTCTTTTCTTTTCTTTTCTTTTCTTTTCTTTTCTTTTCTTTTCTTTTCTTTTCTTTTCTTTTCTTTTCTTTTCTTTTCTTTTCTTTTCTTTTCTTTTCTTTTCTTTTCTTTTCTTTTCTTTTCTTTTCTTTTCTTTTCTTTTCTTTTCTTTTCTTTTCTTTTCTTTTCTTTTCTTTTCTTTTCTTTTCTTTTCTTTTCTTTTCTTTTCTTTTCTTTTCTTTTCTTTTCTTTTCTTTTCTTTTCTTTTCTTTTCTTTTCTTTTCTTTTCTTTTCTTTTCTTTTCTTTTCTTTTCTTTTCTTTTCTTTTCTTTTCTTTTCTTTTCTTTTCTTTTCTTTTCTTTTCTTTTCTTCCATTTGCCTCTTTGCTTCATTCACACTGCTTTCTCTTACCTTCCTTTGTGTTCTCCCCCTTTATACGATTTCTATCTTCCTCCTCCTTTTCCTGAATTGTAAAAATCTTTCCCCTCAATTCTTACTTCTTCCTTTCCTCTCAGATTCTCTGTTCCTGGGTCATGATGGGCTGAAGAGCGCTGCCTCCTTAAAAGATCTAAGCCAGTGGCAGCCTGAAGACAGAGGCTGCTGTGTTTGGATGAGACTAAGGCTCAGTTTAGCTCCGCTCTGCCGTGCCACCAGCTGATGCTGTATTCAGTTTGTGTGCTTCAGCTGTGCAGCAAGGAGTGGATTTCATTTCTGCTTCTGACTGATCTGTGGCTGCTAGAAGCAGGAGAACAGGGGAGGGGCAGCAGGGAAAAGGGAAATGGCTTTGAGAGGAGGGAGACACGGGGAAGGGGAAGAGAATTCATCCTTTTAAAACTAATGTTGCTAGTGAGAAATCTGCAGCTATTAGCATTCAAAAGGGCAAATTTGACTGGGGCTTTGAATAGATATCGTGTATTTATTCTGAAAGACAGTTCTGTGAATGTAGTGGGTGTGCACCTGTCTTTGAGAGTTTTCAATGTTGCTTTTGCTAAATGATGATACTCAGCTTTAAAGCTTTTTTTGTTTAGAAATTTGCAGCCAGTACCATACAGCACTAGTTCTTCTTCGTGTGATGGTCCCCGCTGTATTCCACTGAGGACGTAGGCCTGTGCAGCATGCATCCAGAGTTGGGGAATTTGACAGTAGGATTTGTTGGTCCATTGGCTTACCTTGTGCATTCGCTTGAGGCGATGAAGGGCAGAGCTGCCGACCACGTCTCCAGTTCTTCTCAGTGGTGCATAGTCTGGATCAGAACTTCCAGGCTCCTCGTCTCTGAAAGGAGCATAGTAAATAGCTTTACTGAATTTGAAGTGATTTTACCATTTGTATTTTCTCTTATTTTTCATAGTTACTGCTTTTAGCAGGGACACCTCCCCCGTACATTAGCTTTATTTGGGGAGGCGCATTCCTCTTGCTGTTGTGACTGACTGGAGCAGGCGGAACCACCTCTGTGGCAGGGTCTGATTGGGAGGGAAGGAAGCCTTCCCATAAGCATAGGACTCACCATCTCCAGAATCCCAAACCAGGAATCATCCCTGCACCACCACCAATGCCTGAGAAAGAGAGAATGCTTCTCACATCAGGGAAAGCCAGAACCATAGTTGCATCTCAGGATGTCTGTTCCTTGCTGATCTGGAGTCACTGCCTTCATTGGATCCTTCTACTTCTAGAAAGATTCTCTCCCATCCAAATGACATGTCTCCAATATGAGGTCCATCACCCTCCACACCAGTGCTCTGCACTATTCTAGAGGCTCTGACCTGGAATGTACCACCATTAGAGCCAGAGCATGCCTTCTCCTTTCCAGATGATCAGAAGTAGAAAAAACAACTTTATCTTGCCAGCTTTAGGCACCATTATGGAGATCACCACATCTCTGGCAACAGCTGCCACTTCAGCCACCACAAAGCCACTGGTGCCTCAGGCCTATCTCTGTTGGATCCAGCCTTTTGGCCATGTTGGAGACCATGAGCGCAATATCGCACCTTGGAACCCACCTGGTCTATGAGGGAGCCATCACCTGCTTTCCCTTGAGGCATCCTTCCAGCAGAAATATGGATCTAGTGGTAGATGAAGAACTTCTTATTCTGGTCCCAGCAGTTCCTCCAGACCTAGGAAGATTCCCTTCTTCCTGAGCAAAGTGATGGCAACATCATCCCCTTCCCTACCAGATGACTTCACGCAATTCCATAAACTGTTATGGAGGGTCATGGTGGTGATCCAGATTGCTTTCGAAGAGAGCTTCCAGAAAAAGCTTCTGAATGCCCTTTACATCCTGGGGCTGGCAAGAATAACCTTACTAATTAAGCTAAATTGGAGCTTTCCAAACAAGTGTGGCATACCAGGCCACCCGCATGGCTATTATCTTCTAGCCAGACTCTGAATTTCTTTTCTCCCATCCAGCTTCAAATTCCCTAATAGCCCAGTCTGGTACAGAAAGGGCCAAACAGCAACACCATCAATCCACAGCTACTGATAAGGAAGGGAGGCGTTTCAGCCTTCTAGGACATAAAGTTTGCTCATCTAGCCTACAATTCGGGATCACAGATTATCAGGCATTGGTAGTCAAATATGACTTCCTAAACGGCAGTAAATTCAGGGCATTTGCTTATCACATTCCAGGAGAAGATTGTGCTTGTTTTCAGGCACTTGTCGATGAATGGAAGTTCATGGCTAGAATGTTCCTCTAACAAATAGTAGACGCAGCAGCTCTCACCGTCAGGGCCATAATCTACAGCACAGAGCCTTGGCTCCATTTTTCTGGTTTTCCTAGAGAGTCCAGAATACCACTGCAAACCTCCCCTTCACCAAATCCCATCTTTTAAACCAGAAGAGAGATGAAATCAATATGTGCATGAAAGGACTCCAGGGTTACTCTTCACTCATTGGATACTTATATGGAGAATTCGGGTTTCTTCATGGAGTGGTGTCCCTGTGGGTGCTCCACTCAGGTCTCGGTGCATGCCTGCGCCAGGGATCGGAGATTTTTTATAGCACTGCCCTTTGCGCCGTGCCTGCACACTCGGTGCCCCTCCTTGGAGGCCGTGAAGCACGTGCGTGGCACGAGTCCCATCAGTTCCTTTTCAGCTGTCCCTGGCTGAAGACAGAGTTTACAGCAGTGCTTTTTAAAATTAAAATCCTCTATTATTTCTAGCTCTTTACGTCATAGTTTTATTTCGTTTGACCTTTTTCAATGTTGATTTTGCTGAAAGAAGAAAGGGGAAAAAAAAAAGCAGCAGCCACGGTGGCTTTTCTTCTCTGCTACAATGCTGGGTTCCCACCGCTTAAAAAAATGCGATTCCTGCAGAGACTCAATGCTTACCTCAGATTTCCATGTCTCGTGTGTCAAATGCCTGGGGGAGTCTCATGTGGCACAGAAATGCCCTCATTGCCTGAATATGACAGCAAAGGCCAGAAAAGTAGTGAAATGCGGCTCAAAATTTTATCTGGACAAAGTCTCTTCAATTACCAATGGACAAACCAGAGCAGGTGTGGGCACAGCAGAAGCCCTCGGGTAGGGCAGCTTCATCACCCCACAAAGGCTCTCAAGCCTCAAGGGCTTCCCAGCATGCTCCCTGTCCGAGCTGCTTAGAGCCTCTCGTTCCCCGGTGCCATCAATTTCTGGTATCTTGGAGAAAACGCAAATCAGTGCCAGCCAGGAGAGCTGAGGCACAAACTAAGACCTCCACATCAGCAGGTGCCGTTAGACAGCAGCTTCAGATAAGCTGCATATGCCTCCTTCATCAGCTCCGGTGAGCTCTCCCTCTGCACCCAGTCTAACCAGGCAGAGTGAATGTGACCGCCCCATAGAGCCACAGCACAAGAAAGTGGCTGTACAAAACACGGCACTTACAAACATCTCCTCAGCCTGAGTCAAGAGGAGTAACTGGCTCACCACGCTCCACGGCGCTCCACACTAACATTCTGCAGGGTGTCCCCCACTCGCCTACACCACTATCCCAAAATCTGATTATGGTAGTGGGCATAGGAGCAGGCTCCCATCATGCCATTCCTCCCCTACTCCATCACTAACTTCCTGGCATTCATACAGGGATTACTCCCTTGAAC